AGAAAGCCTAGAAACTAGAAGAAGAGAAAGAAGGCTATTTTGCTATTCTGAAGCCGGTAAGGCTCCGCTAGTAATGGGTCGTGAAAGACTTTTACTTTTCCTCTGTTTCCAATCGCTTGCTTTAAACTACTTATTTTGGGGCGTTTGAGGTTACTAAACAAAATATTGCAAATAGAGAGGCTGCAACCTATGCAGAATAAATGATTTAAGAACCGGGCTTGGCTGATTTCATTTTTCCTCCATATTGGAGATAAGAAGAAGGAACACATTCTAGTAATCCCTGCTCATTTTCACGGCCATTCTTGCACCTGTAACTCAAATAATGAAGCCATTTGTTATTTATATTGCACTTTCCCCTCCATTCTAGATTTCTAACGATCTGACCCTGTTTTATGGCCCTGACAAAGCCTGAAACCGGTGTGGACTTCCAATAATTGAACGATATAGGGAAAAATCTTTAGCTGGAATGAAGCAGATGTTAGCTTCATGCAGTCCCCTAACTTGATTATTCTTTGGACACGTTAGACAAGCATTAGTGATTGATAATGACGCTAATTAACCCCTTTCCTTTCCAAAACAGCAAAACCAACGCCAGCAGGATACTGCAAACAACACAGCCGAAGTACGGCGTATATCCATATCCGTTCACAGTGGATCAGTGACACAACTTCACTGCCCAGCGCTCAACAAAAATCTCCCCCCGCCGACACCGAGCCGGCTCCAAGTCCGCTCTAAGAGTTAACAGCTCCCGCCGCTCGCAGGGCAGGGAGCCGAGACATAGCCCTTCCACGCAGAAAAGGCGCACGGGACAGAACCAGAGGCACCATTTATTTTTTTTACGCTCCCGACCTTTCGCGTTTGATTGTCGAGCCGGTTTAAATCACCCTGCCCTCGCTAGCTGGGACGGGCTTCACGTTGCTCCCCGTCGGAAGGGCGCTTGTGATTTTAGCTGCACTTTGCGAAGGCGAGGGCTGCCGCTCTGGGAATCTGGTCTGGGCTGAGACGTGCACGTACCGAGGAGGGAAAGGGAAGTGCGCACTCTGGAATTTAAATGCGAGGCAGAAGACGAGTAAACAAACAAGGAGCTGATCTGATTACGCAGTCGAATTTATCATGGACAATAAAGAAATGTCCTTTAAATGTAAGGGTTTCGATAAATGAATACTCCTAGCAAGTGAATAAAATGTATTCAATTAACTAAAAACCTCGTGCACTTCTGAACTGAAGTGGAATCGACTGTAATTGATTTATTTGAAACCAGAGGTTAAGGACTGAATTAGCTAAGTACAACTGGGTATTTCAAGCCACTGACTTCTCAAATGTCAAATCCCTTCTATTTTAAATATTATTTCAGCTGCGGGGCATTGCTGTCCTGATGGCTGTTCCACCAGTTAAATCTCAAATTATATTAATATTCGATTTTTGGAGGGTGGGGTAAATTACGGTACAAAGAGGAGGGCTGTCCTCGTTCACAGTGAAAGAGCACCGAGCCGTGTTTTGGTTCACATGTCGGCATGAGCTTGGCGTGGCAGCAGCGGTCTGACATTCAGCCACCGCTCACCCTCAGTTCAGCCAATCTGGGGGGCAAAAACAACGGCAGATTTTTGTTTAGTGCGTGAAAGCATGACCTAGAATTTCGCTGCTGCGCCGTGATCACAACGGTAAAAACGCATCCGAAGAACGCTAAAGTAATTAGCACGTTTTAGTAACCGCATATTGGTCACAGCAGAAGAGGCTGAACCGGAGCTATCTGATTTCCATTATCGCCTGTAAAATCCTTCCTTAGAAATAATAGTAATAAAGAAATCTATGCAAGGTCATTCCATTGCTGTTTTCTGGTGGCTTGCTAATGCAGCAGCAGGATACTTAAAATGCGCTCTCCTGGCATAAAGCAGCTAATTATATCTTTAAAACATTATTTATTATGACCTTATAATGTTCTAGCATAAGACTGCTTTATACATTGCCCAGTATAAAACGATTATATTGGGTACAGGTTTCAAAAAGTAACAAGCATCTGTAAATCCAGATATGAATGAATGGTATTTAATAAGATTGTTTTCGTTTAAAAATGAGTATTTATGTGTTGCTGTAGAAAGAGCAGCAATGTATTGCTGTTTATGAATGCTATTGTGCCTGAGGTTAGGATCCCACACACAATCTGAGATGCAGCCAAGAAAAACAGCCCTGATAGACAATGCTTCACTTCACCTGCTACAATGCTGTGCATTTCATTTATGTCAAGAATATGTACAGTTAGGGTTCATTCACCTCATTATTTTGTTACATCTACTTTACAGTTAACCAGTCTCTCTTGGAAATAATAAATAACTGTTTTTAAAACAATTGCAGCTTTGCATTCAAAAGAAAGATCCACTTTCAATTTATGGGAAAAAAATATTCACCATTTTTATAAACTGGCTGGCTCTCGAAAATAGAATTTAGACTCCACCAACTCTCTTTCTGCTTGGCAAGATTGATTTTACACTGCCTTCCATAAGTAGATTACCAAAGCAAAATGAAACATCTTGGGCTTTATCTAATGCTTTGCTTCACCAGCCCTACCAAACGTCAAAATATATGAGCAAATGTTAATTCTCTTTGCAGCTTTATTGTAAACACCTCCCTCTTTAACCTCCTCAATTTCTGCCTGAGCAAAAAGGGGAAAAAAGGAGACAGAGAGAGACGGAGAGAGTCAGGGAGGGAAGGAAAAAGAGAGAAAAAATCAGCCACCACCACCAAAATATCATCAGCACTTAAAGGAGACCATCTCTTGAAAATGCCTTTACATTCTAAACTGCGTTAGCCTCCCTTCCTATGATACAATATAATCCAGCCTGATCCTGACTTCACCTACCCCCTGGGCCAAAGAAAATAGAGTCAAAGTCTGAATTCTTACATGTTTTTACAGCCCATCTTCAAGACGTACACTCCATTTTTTTTTTTAAAGCGAACTTCCCTGTTTTACAACTGGTTTCCACAAGAAGAAACTCAAGATAAAAATTTCAGCCCCTTATAAACTGACACAACCATCTCAAAATGTCAATCTGTGCATTCCACTAAAACACGAACCATCAATCAGAAATAATCTGTCTCCTGCAAGATTTCACTAAAGTTCACAACCGTGAGATGATTTTGTTGGCATCGACTACGGAGCTTTTCTTTTTTCTTGAGGGGAAGGGAGCACCCGGCTCTGATTCACCAGTATATAATTTCTTTCATAGCACCTAATTTTCGGTATTTGCTCGGTACCGATTCTTTTTAAAATGTCCTTCTCAAGACGATGGCTTTTTTTAAATCTCTGCTCTCTGTTAGGACAACTACATGTACAAAATTTTATAGGCTTATAATTCTGCACACTATATATAAACATAAATAAAAACCTAGAGGTCAACATAAATAAAATAAAACTTTATTTTTTAAATAAAATTATGTTTTGGTTAAAGAAAAGGTAGTGTGTCATTTTGTTAGTAGTACAGACAATTTTTTATCCAAAAGAATACATTGTGCTTTATTGTGTCATTTGTCTGAATACAGACTCAGTGGAATATCTAAATGATACCCTGCTCTGAACTCCAAGTTGAAAGTAAGTTTTTATTATACTTGAGGGAAACAATGGGTTCAGCTGCTTATTGCAAGGAGCAATTGTCAAGGGAGAGTTAAACTCAATTACTGTAACCATACTGAATAAAAAATACTGCCAAGAACAAAAATACGCCTGGGTAAAGACAGCCACTGAATAAAAAAATCGACATAAAGCGTATCAAATATTTATTTATCTGGGCAACAAAGGACTATGATACATTGATAGGCATGGAAACTACTGCCAGCACAACTCAATACAATACAACTATAACTGCCTCCAATATGGCCAGTGGAAATACAGGATACCAGGTGGTCCCGAATGTTTGAAGTTCTTTGGGAAAAAAAAAAAAAAAAAAGAAAAAAAGGAGAAAAACAAAAGAAAGGGAGAAAGAAAAAAAAAAGGCAGGGGGGGAGAAGGAAAGAAAAGCTAAATCTTGTTTTAAAAGACAATATTAATTTATTGCTCTGATGGTGCTTTCGGGAGAAGGACAGTGGATGAAAATAACTTCTTCTTTCATTTTCCACAACACATAAGGGTTGTAAAACCACTAACATGTTTAAAAACCTTGCCAGGGTCCAACATCACTTTATTTTATCTTCAACGAGAAACTAAATGTCATACTAATTATATATAAAAATTCATGGTTTTTTATTTGTTCAGCTGCTTCATTGTCGCCTTTAACATGCTACAACAGGGCTAAAAATGATGAATCCCAGAGAAAAACCCCCAAAAAACCTCTGATATCTAAATAAGTACCATGAACCACATGATGAACTAAGAGGGGAAGATTTAAAACCCACTAAACAAGAGGTAAACGAGATCACCAGATAAATAAAAAAAGGCTTAAAACAGACTCACCATATTTACAATTCCCATTAAATTACACATAAATAAATATATACATACATGAACACTGATTCCCTTATATAATAACCGTGAATCGTGTTGCAATAGAAAGTTCAAGTTGGTCGCTTTACCTTGGACAGGAAAAAGTTCTACAACTGAAGATATGACATGGAACTGCTTGTGTTTTGTGTTCAAGTTTATTCACAATACTGATAAAATGTCATCAGTCCTTTTTGCCTTTTGTTTGTTTGCTGTTGCTGCTGCTGTTGTACTATTTTCGCTTTTTTTCGTTTTTAATATGGCTACAATCTTAACTGAAGTTTATGTAAGGGAAGGTGGTGATTCAGTCCGGTGAAGCTCATAGAATTTTTTAAGTATTATTTATTTCTTTTTGGTGTTTTTTTTTTTTTTAATATATTTTTAGAAAAAAAAGTCCTTTTCTTTTTTGTTTTGTTTTTGTTTTTTTTTCCTCCTTTTGTTTTATTTAAAAAAAAGTTCACAAACTCAAGACAGAACTTTTTTTCTTTGCAGGGAGCAAATGGAAATGTGGATGCTGGGAAGGGGTGTGGGGAGAGGGCAGAGCAGTCCCGCGGAGTCGGAGAACAGGATTGGCAGAAGGACGCTCATTCTGTTGCTGTAGCCTGGGGTGCTGGGTGCAGGGGAGAGGGAGGAGGGAGACGAATGGATCGATGGGCTATGAGGGGGAAGGGAGAGGAGCGTGTGTGCGGGAGGGGGAGATCCTCACTTTCGGTGCTTCTCCTCTTTGTCGCCGCTTTTGGTGCTGTTGTCTGTGTGGCTGTTGGGATTGTTGCTGAGGTACATTTTGTCCATGGCCTTGAGCGCCTCGGTGAGATAGTTCTGCAGGGCGGTGACGGCAGCGCACACCGCCGGGCTCCCGAAGCCGTGCGAGATGAGGTTGAAGTGGGTCAGGCAGCTCTGGATGCCCGGCTCCAAAATGGGGTTGGGCCGTGAGTTCCCCAGGGGAGATCGGTCCTGAGCCAGCAGGTCGGTGAACTCTTTACAGATCTGTCTGTAGCACAAATGGAGCAGAGAGACAGAGGGAGGGAGGCAGGGAGGGAAGGGAAGAGAGAGGGAGAGAAATGAACCATCACTGGCGGCAGCAAAGCCTGTGCATGCTCCCTGCTAGGTTACACGAGCCCCTGGATCAAGGGGGCTGCTGCCCCTGCGCGCACAGGCGCGCTCCCGCCTCTCCCTCTCCTCTCTCACACATCCTTCCCCCGACTCCCACGCTGCCCCGGCACGCACAAACCTCTTCCCTGCACCTGGCGTGCACACACATCGCGCCCCGGCCAAATAACAGGCACACAGACGCACACACACCCTGCTCCCACGTACCCCCGCCGATCCCCCTGTCGCAGCCCGCACAAACACACATCCCTGCCCGGCTGGGTTTTGGAGCAGACAGGCGGTTTAAAGTTGCCCAGCAAGGCAGAAGGGAATAGATGGGGTGCGATATCCCAAGGGAGGTTCAAGGGATTTATCCACATCTTGGAAGATCCTTTTTTTTGTGGAACTGGAGAGAGGCGCGGGCCTCTTCTTTCACAGGGCTAAAACGCACCTGCGTGTCGGGAAGAAAGAGCGAGGGCAGAGAGGGGAATCGAGGCTTTAAATTAGGGTACTCTGAAACGATTTATGTATGTACATCTGCATCTCCAAATCCAAAGGGACCTTCCCGCAGAGGGGAAGGCTGACGCTAACTGGGGTCTGGAAATTTCCTTCCAGGGAGGTGGGAAGCGAGGATCCAAGGGCACGGTGGAGCAGTTCGGTTATATCATCCACTCGCTGCACAAATGGTGTGGGGGAAATAACACACCTTCCAGCACGAGAGCCGAGAGGCACGTTGCAACAGCCTGTATTCTAAAACCCGCCTTAACGTTAGTCTTCCAGCCATAAAGCGGCTCCCATCTTCTGCCTGCGCCCTCTGGCACTGTGCCCTTTGGTGACACCTCCATTGGTAATTAAGGGCTACTAAACAACCCTTTTAATTTCCAGCAAACATATCAAAACGATCATTTTCTTTTCACGCACCACCTGGAAGTCTAGGCAGCCCCACCAATGCTAAACTCCGCTAGCATTTTAACTGCGTACAGATTGTCATTTAAAATATATTTTTAATATCCCTACATTCACTAAGTAACAGAGCTGCTTAGGCAGAAAGAACCATTGCTGATTTTAATGAACTGAAATCAGTTTAATGTGCCAGTTTTATTTTACTGTCAATGGGAAGCCTTCCCCTTCTACCTAAATTGATAAGCTAAGCGAAAAGGCCCGGGAAATGTTTTGCTCTGAAGAATTACTGCTTTTTCTTTAACTAAACATCCACCCACAATTTTCACGACTCGCTTTCAAGGTAATCTGCAGGAACTGGCTTGATGGAAACCAAGCTGGGTTACAGAGTTCTCCTCTAGCAGGAGGGCAAATACACCCCCTCACAATCTGCAAAATCATCATCAGCCACTGGCTACGTGGCAAACGCTCACAAATACAAGCCCCAAACCCGGCTTTGTCGCCCTCCCCTCACTTCTGAGCAACATGCCAGAAAGGTAAATGTCTTACTTTGTAGCTAGAAGCATGTTTTTTCTTGTGACTTGCTCGTTTGGATCGGAATGTTGTCGGTTGAGAAATTCAGCTACTGCTTTGGCAGGAAATTCTGTCTCACAAACGTACCCAAAATCTCTAGCTAGATGTACTGCTTCTCCTGAAAAGGGAGGCATGGGTGGGGAGGGAAACACACAGCTCATCAGTACACATCGCACAGAGGCAAAAATCCATCAGGGAAAAAAAAAAAAAAAAAAAAAAAAAAAAGGCACTACATTCTGCTTGGGCTTTTCTTCTGAAAGGCTTGGACTTTTTTTTCTTTGAAAAAGGTAGAGTAAGAAATGCTAATCACATCTTATCTTGCAGGAGTTTTCTTTGCTTCAGTCGGAGGGCAATGCAAATGTGTATTTTCATGACAATCGTTACAAGTGAAATCTCGCGTAAGAATTTTGTAAAGTTTACATTGACTAACAGATACTTTTAGACGGGCAGGCTCCAGCCCCCTAGAATGTGCGCTCGGATTTACATATCCATACCTATACACGGCCATTTACGTACATTTCATTCACAGCTATTTACTCTGGAAATGTTTGTTTGCCTCAGCCGCCAGGTCTCTATATTCTTTTGCAATGCGTCAATGATTAATATTGATCATAATTACTCCTAGAGCTCTTCTAAATAAAATGCATTAAACAGCTAAGTGTTTAAAATTTAACTTGATCGCATATAATTATATGTTCACCCCCAAACGATTAACCATGAGAATTTTAGGGTCATTCCACCGAGTCTGTCTGTTTTGTTGATTTTCAAATCTTTGGTTTTAATTTCCTGAACCAGTTGGTTTTTACTGCAGGGCTTCCTGCCATTAGCTCGAGCTCCGGAAGAACGCATGCGCCAATTAGAGCTTCAAAGCCTCAGTCCAGTGAGCTTGTTTCCATAAAATGGAGCGGATCATAAACAATAACAGTACTCTAGAAGCTGCCTCATCGCTACAGGACTCAAAGCCCCAGCAATGTTTATACTATCATCCCCCCAAAATGAGCCACCATCGCTAAGTTATCTGGAGATCGGGCCTCTGGTTTTTTGTTGTTTTTTTTTTTTTTTTTTAAATCATTCTTTTAGAGCCATTGTATGTGAAAGCCAAACAGAACACTAGATTACCATAAAACCTTCTCCATATTCATTAACATCACAAATAATGTTAAGCATCTACCAAATCTAGACTTTTTACAAGTTTTCCCCTCGTGATTTTTTACTACAGCGCGCCGATGCAATTGCAAAGCCTTTCCAAAACCCGGAAGACGCAGTAATTTTCACGCAGTATAAATATCGTGCGGCCACTTATCCTGATGTTTAAAAAAAAACCCCGAAGCCTGGCATTGCGCAGCGCTTCTTTCCCCGTCCCTTTGAACATGAAACATTTCTCGCAGAATGCGAAGCGACAGCAAAACAAAGCAACAAATTCCCTCCTACGCGACCCAACTTAAGCGAAGCCTGCGCAGCCCGGGCTGAGCTTAAAAGCGCTTTGCAGACCAAACCGGCCTAAATGCAGTCAAACCCGTAAGTGAGGGGAAAGGAGAAGGATCTATTGGCTGGCCTTGGGCTTACTTTGTGCCAGTCAGCGTGACCCAGCAACTGCTTCAAAACTAAGTGACTGCAAACTCTTGAGCTTCCCACCCCGCGGTTCTGACAGCGTAGGGCCATCCCAAGGCATTAAAAGTAAGTTGCACCTTTTTTGGCCAGAGCAAAGTAGAGGAGAGCAGCATAGCCAAGGGAACATGTGTTCTGAAAATGAGAACCAAAAGGGAGTGGGGGGGGGTGGTGGTGGTACAACTTTGAGGCTTTCAGGACACCATTAATTCATGGCTGAGGTCAAGGATTCCCAAATTAATTCAGGAAGCAATGGTCACGCATTTCTCAAATGCAGATGTCAGAAAACTCAAATGATTTACTGTTATGTGGCTGCGGGCTGGGAGGGAGAACAAACTTAATGTAGCTGCAGTTTCTGACGTTTAAAATGGCTTGGTTGTCCACCTGTGGCAGAAGGACGGCGGTGAAGCATTAGAGGCTCTGCTCCCCGTAACTTCCAACTTGGCACTCGGGGGTCTCACACAGGGCTGCGCCCACAGCCCCCGTTCGCAGGGATCCCTCCCGTGCTGCTCCCAGTGAGATCCGCTTACTCTGGGGAGGCATTACTCACTTGAACGAGGGAGCAAGATGGGGCCCTGAACACGTCCAGGTCAGAGACTTAAAAGGAAATAAATGGTACGATGCAATGCTGAGTCTGCAGGACTCACGCAAGCCCGTTTCAGGTTAAAACAAAAGCCAAAGGCACACAATTAACTTTTTTTTTTTTTCTGAGGCATAGAAAATAACGCCCTTCCAATTTCCAACAAGCAGCACTGACTCGGGGGAAAAAAAACAACGAACCAACCCAACACCAAGTCTTCTCCCGTTAGGCAAAAGCAACAGGCACATTTTCCAAACGAGCCCTCCCGGCTCTTTGAGTCACTTACCCTCCACGAGCGACGTGAGCAAGGTAACGTTAGCAGCTTTACGCCTCCCGGCTGGCAGGTTTAATCCTATTTTGTCCAGTTTCTCCCTCAGAGATCTCCCTCCGTTTTTAGACTTCGCCCTGCTCCGTGCAGAAAGGCATTGAGAAACGGGGCTGGCGGGGGGCACCCGCTCCCAATTTGGCTCCCGCCCACAGATCGCCCCAGCACATCGCAGAGGGGAGTCAAGGGGTTTTTTTTGGGGGGGGGGGCATGATTGGGGGGGGCTGAAGAGCGAATGTTGCTGACAGC